TTCCATACAGAGCGGGGCCGGGGTGGGGGTACAAAATGAGGAGTAGACCGTGGGGCCGCCAGAGCCTGGGCGACCAGAGAAGTTGGTTCTGAGGGTCCGTGTCCCCTGAGGCTGAGCCAGGTGAGCAGAGATGGGACAAGTGCATCCCAGGAGGGAGCACAGAGCCTGTCCTGTGGAAATGCAGGAAGCAAGGCCAGGGGAGCAGGCACCATGTGTGGGAGAGGGGCCCTGAGTGGGCTGGAGGTGAGCTCTGGGGACAGGGATCTCAGGGGTCAGGGGCCTTTGGACAACGTGATATCCTCTTCTCCCGCCCCCGTGCCAGGCTGTCTGGCAGCTACTGGGGAATGTTTCCTGAGCCTGCCCTGCTCTCCAGCCTCGCATGGGATTTCCTCCTCAGGGTTTTGTGGTTCGGACCTGCGTCCCTCTCATGCCAGGTGATGGCCAGTTGATCTTTCCCGTGCTGGTGGCCATGCATGTGTCTTCTTTGCAGAAACGTCAGTTCAGATCCTGTGCCACTTTAATTGGGTTGTTTGTGTTTTTATTATCAGGTTATAAGAGTTCTCTGTACATTACACGTACATTGCTCATCACGTCCGAAATCTGCAAGTTCTTTGGGTGGTCTCACTTTCTCACAGTTTCCTTGGAAGCACAAAACCTTTTATTTATTTTTTTTAGAGAGTAGGTAGGTGGGGTAGGGGCAGAGGAAGGGGGAGAGAGGGAATCTTAAGCAGGTTCCACGCCCAGCACAGAACCTGACTTGGGGCTCAGTCCCATGACCCTGAGATCACGACCTGAACCGAAATCAAGAGTCAGACGCTCAACCAAGGGAGCCACCCAGGTGCTGCACAAAAACTTTTAATTTTGATGAAGTCCGGTTGACTGTGTTGTTGCTGTGCTTTTGGTGTCGTATCTAAGAAGCCACTGCCCAGTCCAAGGTCATGAAGATTTTCTCCTGTATTTTCTTCTGAGAATTCTGTAATTTTAGATCTTCTATTCCTTTTTCACTAATTTTGTGTCTGGTGGAAGACAAGGGTACTGTTTCATTTGTGTATGGGTGTCCAGTTTTCCAGGACCATTTCTCAGAAAAAAACACTCTGCCTAATGAGTCGTCTTGGCAAATGTCAGAAAATCAGTTGGCTGTAAACGTGGGGGTTTCTCCCAGGGCTCTGCTTCCACTGATCCCCACGCGTGTGCTTGTGCCAGGGCCACACCGTCTGGAGGACTAGAGCTTCTGTAGTGAATTTTGAAACCAGGAAGTGAGAGTTCTCCAGCTTTGTTCTCCTTTTTCCTTTTTTTTTTTTAAGATTTTATTTATTTATTTTGAGAGAGTGCATGAGCATGAACAGGGGGAGCAGCAGAGAGAGAAGCAGGCTCCTGGCCAAGCAGGGAGCCGGATGCAGGGCTCAATCCCAGGACCCTGGGATCATGACCTGAGCTGAAAGCAGACGCTTAATGACTGAGCCACCCAGCCGCCCCTGTTCTCCTTTTTCAAGGTCATTTTGACCGCTCAAGACCCCTTGCATTTCCGTGTGGTTTTAGGACCAGCATGTCCATTTCTTCAAGGACGCCAGCTGGGGCTTCATGCTTAGTCTTCTGACCCGCGAACACAGTGTCTTTCCATTTATTCACATCTCCCGTTCCTCTCAACAGTGTTTTGTGGTTTTCAGCGCGCACGTCTTATATTTTTCCGTTGAATGTATTTAAGGAATAAATTTTACTTATTTTATTCTTGACGCTGTTGTGCGTATAGTTTTCTTAATTTCATTTCTGGCTGTTCCTTGCAGGTGTGTAGAGAAGCCTTTGATTTTTGCATATCAATCTCATATCCTTCAATCTTACTGAATGCGTCATTCTAATGATTTTTTTTAGTGTATTTTTGGGGATTTTGTGTATATGAGGTCATGTCATCTGCAAATAGTGAGTTTCATTTCTTCCTTTTCACTCTGGATGCCTTTTATCTCTTCTTGCCCACCTGCCCTGGTAGGACCTCCAGGACCTTGTGGAGTGGGCGGGGCCAGAGCAGGTGCCCCTTGTCTTATTCCTGATCTTAGGGGAGAAGCTTCAGTCTCTCACCATCGAGTGGGACCTCACCGTGGGGTTTTCCTAGATGCCCTGATCAGGTTGAGGAGGTTCCTTTCTGTTCTTTGTGACGTATTTTTGTCATGAAGGAGTGTTGAATTTTTATTAGATCCTTTTTCTGAATCCGTTGAGATGATCGTGAGGATTTTGTCCTTTATTCTGTTGAAATGGTATTGAGCTGTTTTTACTCACAACACTGCAGACGCCAAATGTGTGGGTTTTCCTCAGCAAGCAGTTTTCCAGTTCTTTGCAGACACCAACTGAGTGTCCTACAATTTAACTCAATTCTGACACTATCTGCCCGGCATGAATGCAGACCCCCCTCCCCCCAGGCTGAAGGCCCCATCCCATGAATTCGCCACCACGTCCAGGCTGTCACCAGCTGTAAGTTCTCACGACCCCCTTCTCAAGCGCCATAATTTGTTAGAATGGCTCACAGAACTCAGGGAAACACCTTACTTCAGTTACTGGTTCATCATCAAGGCTGACTCGGGAACAGCAGGTGGAAGACACCCACAGGGCGGGTAGGGAAGGAGCACGGAGCTTCCAGGCCCTGCCCCTTGCCAGGCAGTGCCACCCTCCTCCTCCTGGCACCTCCATGTGCCCGGAGGCTCTGGGACCCCTTCATTTCGGGTTACACAGGCGTGGTTGATGAGATCATTGGTCGAGGGTGTTGGGCTCAGTCTCCAGCCCCTCCCCCTCCTCAGAGGTCACAGGTCAGGGTGTGGAGCTGAGTTCCACCCTCTAGTCAGCCTTGGTCTCTCTGGCTAGCAGCCCCCACCTGTGTCCGAGCACACAGAAAACACCCTCCAGAGAGGCTGCAGGATTTCAGAGTCAGGTGCCAGCACCTGGGACGTGCATTAATAACGTATTTCTCACGGTTCCACAAACATGATGTCACTCGATTTTCGGATGTGTCGCTGGGATAAACCGAGGGACCCAATCTGCTGGCACCTTGTCTGGGACATGTGTCTGCATTCTTGAAGGGCGTGGGCCTACACTTCCAGAGTCCTGGAAGGCTTCATGGGATGGACGGACATCTGCCCCCTCCCCTTCCCATTCGTGCTTTGTTCCCACATGTGCAGGCTGTCAAGTGTGTGGCTCTGCCTCTTCCTTCTGCAGGAGATGGACCCCCCTCACCCTTTCCCCAAGGAGATCCCGCACAATGAGAAGCTCCTGTCTCTCAAGTACGAGGTGGGCCTTCTCCCTCTGCACCCCCATCCCACGCAGCTCCTGGGCCCCTTGTCCCCCTGCCCACCTCCACCTGCTGTGAACCCGGAGCGTCAGGGTCAGCCCTGCGTTGTGTGTGCTGTCCTACAGAGCTTGGACTACGACAACAGTGAGAACCAGCTGTTCCTGGAGGAGGAGAGGCGCATCAACCACATGGTGAGTCTGGGCTGCAGTGTCCTCGCAACGCGCCCTGCTTCCTGGGCTGGGCACAGCCATCTCCCACTCCCTCTGTGGTCCTCGAGCCTCTGATTCTGGAGCCACCATTCATTCTACTGGTTTGTGTCCTGGGGTCAGAGATGCCAATACAGGACACGGGGTGGGAGTGGGTGTGTCAGGTGTGATGGAAAAGGACATGCAGAGTCGGGTGCCCGGGCTCTCAGTCACCAATTGTGAGCTGGTTGGGAAGGGAAGGCCCACTGCCTCTGAGACGTTGACCAGAGGCTACCTCCCCAGGATGCAGGGTCCCGCACGCGGCATGCTGTTGCTGGTGGTGGCCTGCAGAACCCCAGGGGCTGGTCGCACCGTCTCCAGAGTGGCCTGTGAGCAAAGACCACCCCCACTGCACCTGCTTCTGATGGTTGCCCTCCCCATAGGCCTTCCGGACGGTGGAGATGAAGCGCTGGGTCATCTGTGCCATGATTGGGATCCTCACGGGCCTTGTGGCCTGCTTCATTGACATCGTGGTGGAGAACGTGGCTGGCCTGAAGTACAAGGTCGTCAAGGACAGTATCCTTTGTCCCCAGCACAGAAGGGGGCACAGGCTCCGCCGCAGAACACCCTGGTCCCTGGAGGGGCCAGCGGTGAGGCCTCCGAGCCAGGCGTGTTTGCCAGCCACATGGGGGAGGCGTGGCTGCATGGTGGCGTCTCGTGCCCAGGATGGCGCTCTGGGCTCAGGAGGCCGGGCTGCAGGAGTGCGGCAGGCAGGCCAGGGGTGAAGCTGCCACTCGTCCTTGACGAGTGCCAGATATCGACAAGTTCACAGAGAGAGGCGGGCTCTCCTTCTCCCTCTTGCTGTGGGCCACACTGAATTCCGCGTTCGTGCTCGTGGGCTCTGCGATCGTCGCCTTTGTGGAGGTATGGCCACCAAGAGGTCACAGCAGGGGTTCCTGTGGGTTGGAACCCTGACTCCTGCCGGCGAGGTTCGCGTGGCTACACTGGCGGGGCCTCTGGTGCAGGCGTTAGATGTGCAAAGCAGAAGGCGCCTGGGTCCCATGGTGCCACTCCTGCCCTGCGCAGCAAGGACTGGGGGGTGTGCCCAGGCCATGCAGGGCCTCAGCAGCAGGGCTGGTCCAGGTGGAAGGGAGCACCCCTTCTTTCCGGGACTTCTCCCAGAAGCCTCTGTTCCTGTGGCCTGCCTCTTGGCTTCTCCCTTGTCATGGGTGTAGCATCTGGAAGCTTCTATCTGCAGTGCAGTGTGATGCCCCCCCCCCTTCCCTTTGGGGACACTGGGCCTCCTCTGCTCCATTCCTGACCCCTCCCATGGCCTGTTCCCCACTTCCCCCCATCATCACTGCTTCTGGAATGGGGAGAAGCGGGAACCCCTCCATGGGCAGCTGTCCCCTGCTCGGGCACCGTGTGGCCGTGTCCGCCTGGGCCAGTGTGGCCTTAGCACGGCCTCTCTCTCCTTCCAGCCGGTCGCCGCTGGCAGTGGGATTCCCCAGATCAAGTGCTTCCTCAACGGGGTGAAGATCCCCCATGTGGTCCGGCTCAAGGTGAGGCCTGGAGCGGGCGCTGGGCTGGGTGCTGGGCTGGGCTCTACCGATTTGCCTCCCAGCACCTCTGGGACTTGGCCTCACTCACTCCCTGTGCTGCCCATGAGCGTGTGTGTGCATTTCACATAAACTTTCTTTGGAAGGGGGTAAAATTTTCTCTTACGTGTTTTAAATTATGCACACGTGCTTAAATGGGGCGTCTGCTGTGATCACAAGCTGTGTGGAACGCGTTAAGTTCTGCACGGTGGTTACTATCTCAGGAAGAGAAAGGCTCTGTTAGAGTGGTAGGTATACTTACTGTGAGGTTTTTCCTGTTATTATAGTTTTCTTTGATGTTCGTTACAGTTAACATTCTCGGTAATGCCCCGTTTCTGAGGAGATGGGGGTGTCAGGAGCATGGTTCCTCGATGGTCATTTCCAGGTGTTGGGTTGGCACGTCTGGGGCGGGATGCTCCTGGGGTCTGCAGCTGTGCACCAGGGGTGCAGGACCAGTGGTGGCAGCCTGAGGGAGCAGGGCGGCCTCGGGGAGGGCCTGTGCCCGCCACACACAGCAGGGTCCACCCTGGTGGGCACAGGGTTAGCAGATAAACCTGGTATGCGTCCAGAGGAGCAGGACTTGCTGCTTTCGGCTTTCTGGGGCACATGACTTCTCGGGATAGAAAATTGGAAGGTTCGCAAAAGCAGGAAAGAATCGGCCCGAAGCCCAGCACCGAGGATGCCCACTGTGTGCTGGCCCTCCTGTGCGCCTTCCTCTGTCTCATGGGTTTGGAGCTGGGCGCATAGTCTGGATGGCTTCGCGGACACAGTTTTGCTACACGTTCTCGGACTGTGTGTGGCCTTTAATCAGAGACTCGACATACCTTCTTTTGTGTTCTAGACCCTCGTGATCAAAGTGTCTGGTGTGATCCTGTCCGTGGTGGGCGGACTGGCAGTGGGAAAGGTAACGGAGCCCTGCTCACGGCCTGTGACCCAAGGCCACTTTGTTCTCTTGGAGCCATGCTTATCTGAGGGCGGCTGTCCTGTGCTTCTAGGAGGGGCCGATGATTCACTCGGGCTCTGTGATCGCTGCCGGGATTTCCCAGGGGAGGTCAACGTCGCTGAAGCGAGATTTCAAGGTGAGTGCTCTTCTCCCATCGTGGACAACCCCAGCATCCCCAGGAGGCTCTGCTGGGACCATGGTCTCGCCCAAAGGCGTGTGGAGCCTCGGGGGAGGTCGGGAGCGGCTCACGTGCAGATTGAAGCTGCTTTGTTTTCAGTTTTGTAGCATTTCCCTCAAAAGCCAGCGTTCTGATGGGTGTTGCACTGACTTTACGTGGGAGTTCAGAGACATTCGCGGTTTTTACAGAACACTCTTGTGTTTTTACATCAAGATCATGTTTTCAGTGGCTTGTTTATTTGGCCTTTGTCCCATCTCCTGTGGGGTTTTGAGTCGTGTGATGGGTCTCTGGCACGGTCTGAAGGTTCATCATCATCTCGAGCCTCCTTTCTTGGCTATTGGCCTGTGAGGGCACGTTCAGTGTGTGCTGCTGCGTCTGTTCTGTGGTCTTCGTGAATCCACGTCAGTGGACCGTCCAGAGGCCTGTCCGTGTCCCCTGTCCCTTTCCCTCGGGCCCTGTCTCCATGGCGCTCACCAACCTTGCCGCTCTCTGAAGGGAGCACCCTTGGGGAAGCTGGCTGAAGCGTCTTCCCTTGTGTCCCCATTGCAGATCTTTGAGTACTTCCGCAGGGACACGGAGAAGCGGGACTTTGTCTCGGCGGGAGCTGCGGCTGGCGTGTCTGCCGCATTCGGAGCCCCCGTGGGTGAGGGGGATGGCTGCATGGGGGAGGCCGCGGTCCCTCCTGTGTGGAGGAGGGGTCTTGGTATTTGCTGACTCTCAGTACAGGGTGAGGGTGCAGGCGCGTTCCCCCGACAGGCCTGGGGGCTGCCTCTGCCAGTCTTGGTGCCCCAGGGTCATGGGGTGTGAGGCTGCATGGGGGCGGGCTCCCGTGTGTCCTGGGGAACACATCCAGGCTGGGCTGCTTCCGTTCTAGGTGGGGTCCTGTTCAGCTTGGAAGAGGGTGCCTCTTTCTGGAACCAGTTCCTGACATGGAGAATAGTAAGTGCCTACAGAGGGCCGCTTCCTCGTGGAGGTCAGGCCATGCTGTCCCCTGGGCTCTCTGATCCGCTGTGCGGGGAGCCGTGCCCCCATGGGGCTGCTATGGCCGGCTCTGCCCGTCACTCAACCTGAGCTGCTCACTGTCCTCCCACCACATGTGCCTCCCCTGTCAGCCGTGGGCTTTGTTTGCACCCTGTTGTCTTCCTCATCGGGCCCCCCAGACCACGCTGCTCACCTCGTCCCTCAGCTCCATCACTGGCTTGGCCCTGACACTTATCCAGACAAGGCTGCAAAGCGTTTACCCAGCCATGAGGGGCCGGGCACCTCCTGAGTGACGGGAGGGGAGGGTCCCCCTTCAGACCCCCCCCCGCAACCCCCTCCTGGCTCCCCAGACCCCCCAGCCCCGGGGCTTCAGCTGGGCGGGCTTAGTTCTGATGGCACTTGTGTTCCTCTCTGCCCACAGTTCTTTGCTTCCATGATTTCCACTTTTACCCTGAATTTTGTCCTGAGCATTTACCATGGAAACATATGGGACCTGTCCAGCCCAGGGCTTATCAATTTCGGAAGATTTGACACAGAGGTAATATGCTGTGCTTTCTTGTTCTCTCTGCTTCCTTATCCAGCTGGGGCCATGGCCACGTACTTAAGGTTCATCCTGAGGATGTGGACTCTTGGGAAATGGTTGCTCTTACCTGCAGGATTGAGCTCTAGGGGCCGGGAGGTGACTTAGGGAAGCTCACAGCTGACCTACCCATGCAGGTTAGGATGCCTGATACCCGCTGGGTGCACTCGTGGTGTCTGGGCTGGGCAGTCTGTGGACTGTCGGATGGGGTGCTGAGACCACCTGGGGCACGTGGGTGCTGTGCACTGGGACCCTGCTCTCAGGGGTGCTGCGCACATGGACACAGCAGAGCCCTTGGTCACTCAGGGTCATGAGATGTGTTCCCGGGGCTCCTTCTCACTTGTGCCCCCCTGATTCCCATTTGGCAAAAGCTCGGGCCATCCCCCACCTTCAGGCGGACAAAGACCCGGGCTGGGAGCAGGCGAAAGCCTTAGAGGGAGTGTGGTCCGCTGTGAACTACCCATGCTTCTCCCCCGCGGACGCCCACAATTGTGTGTGCAAGTGCCGGAGGCCTTGTCCGTGCTCGCATCAGAGCGGAGAGGGCTGGCGATGCTCTCCTCACAGGATGCTCGTTCTCTTCTGTGCAGACGATGGTGTACACGATCCACGAGATTCCTATCTTCATCGCCATGGGCGTGGTGGGTAAGGGCTGTCCTGTGAAGGAACGCTTCCTGTCCCTCACCCTCCCCGCCCCAAGGTGGCAGCAGGCGACTTCTAGTGGGGTCAGTGTGTGTGGAGGGGTCAGGGCCTGGCAGACCCCAGGCCTGGCCTGGCTTTGAAGTAGCCGGAGGGGGCTGTGGCCCCCACAGCCCATGAGCTGTCCTCCCACGCCCCGCCCCGTTCACGCACCCCCAGGAGGGAGCCCACAGCTGAAAGACCAGAGCTTTACCTCTGCTGGAGAAGGCCCTTGGTGGGGCACTTCTCTAAGAAATAGAATGAGCTCTAAACAGTGCTTTCTACTTGGAAAAACCTTTTTCCCTGGAAGGAAGGCCAAGCCTTTGAGAAATTCGCCTGTCCGCCTGCCAGGCTGTGCTGACAAAGAGCACACAGAGACAGCCTGTCCTCCTGTCCCTTACATGCTGCCCCTCCTGGTCGTAGGTGGTATTCTTGGGGCCGTGTTCAATGCCTTGAATTACTGGCTGACGATGTTTCGAATCAGGTGAGAAGCCTCCGTTTTGTGGACCCGGGACCTTTGAAAATGGGTGTGTTGAGGGTCTGTGCCCGTGGAGTTGCATGGAAGGCCATGTACCCACAGGCTTCCTCGGTCGTTCGTATGGGGGGTGGAGACAGACCAGCACTGGCTGGGGGGCCCCATGAGGCTGGGCGTGCCTGGAGGCCTGGGAGGTCCTGAGCCAGGGGACAGTCGGGCCTGCAGAGGCTGTCTTCCTGTGAGGAGAGCAGTTCTGGGAGCTTCCAGGTTTCTGAAACCTTCGGGCGGGCCCTGGGCTCGAGGAAGCACTTCCTTCTTATTCTCTTGCCCGGATTTAAAATGCCGTTGACGAGTGCCCCGGAGACGACCTGGTGATTGCGTGTGCTGTGTCACCCCCAGTCATGCCCTGCGATGGGCTCTCAGGCACGGACTCCGGTGCCATGGCAGCTCCTGGGGAGTCCAGCCGTCCTGAGGCCCGGTCCATCCTGCTGTTGGCCCTAGGTACATCCACCGGCCCTGCCTCCAGGTGATCGAGGCCATGCTGGTGGCTGCAGTCACGGCCACAGTCGCCTTCGTGCTCATTTACTCATCCCGAGATTGTCAGCCCCTTCAGGGGAGCTCCGTGTCCTACCCCCTCCAGGTAGGAGGCCCAGGCCTGGTGGGCAGGTCCACCAGGCAGAACAGGGCCGGAGGGTGGCGAACAGCTGAACTCCAGGCTCAAGTGGGCTTCACGGGCCTGGTGGGCTTCGGGAGAGAGGACGTTATGCTGGGCGGGTTTCCCCGGTCCTCCTCCCAGAACAGCACCCTGCCCAGGGCCACATGGGGACTTCAGAAGTGGGGGCTCATGGGTGTGGACTCGAGAAGCCCTGAAACCCGCACCGACATGCTCGCTGCAGCGTGGCCACGGACCGCGGGGATCAGGCCAAGTGTCTGCCAGCTGGGAAACTGATCAGCAAAACGGGGTTTGGCCATAAGTGGGTTTATTTGGCCGTGGAAATAGCTGAAACCTTGACATGCTGCCACGTGGATGAACCTCGAAAACCCCATGGACAGAAGCCAGACACACAGGCCCCTGTGTCGTGTAATTCTGTGTATGTGAAACATCTGGCGAAGCCACGGAGGCAGAGCAGATGCTTGGTGGCTGGGGGTGGGTTGGTGGGGAGGGGGACCTAGGTGTCATGGAACCACGCACCGCTCAGCCTGGGAGGGCTGAGCCCGCCGGCACCAGGGCCCAGGTGCTGACTGCTGAGCCCCGGAGTCCCCGCGTACCCCAGCAACAGACTCACCGGCCAGTGTCCTGTGGACCGGCCCGCGCATGCAGGACCTGCCTCTGAAGCCCTCGCTGTCCCCGAGCCTGGCTCTTTGCATCCTGCCTCCCCCTGAGGCCACGACCTGACCCAGCCGTCAGTGGTTGCCCCTGGCACTGTGCAGGCCGAGACCAGTCTGCCCCACCGGCCCATTCTCTCTTCCAACCTTACAGCTCTTCTGTGCAGATGGCGAGTACAACTCCATGGCTGCCGCCTTCTTCAACACCCCGGAGAAGAGTGTGGTCAGCCTCTTCCACGACCCCCCAGGTGCGTGCCTGAGCTCCGTGCCATCAGCCACACGTCCCCACACTGGCCTTGACCCCTCCAGGTTACTCTGAGACTGACCCTGGGCCTGGGGGTCCCCTTCCGGCCAGCTGTGCCCTGAAGGCGGAGGTCACCACCTTTGCTGCGGTCTGGGCCCAGGGGTGGGCCAGGCCCTTCCCCTCCTGGAGGGCGGCTGCTGGGGCTGCCTGCATCAGTGATGACATTCCTGACTGCCCAGTGTTTTCCTCCTGGGAGCTGCTTGCACAGGGCACCCTCCAGCTCCACACACACCAGCCACACACGTCCACCCCCACTGTGGGGCTCAGACTCACGACCCTGAGGTTAAGAGTCACATGCTCCTCCAACTGAGCCGGCCAGGTGCCCCCAGCTGTGTGCGTTTTTTTTTTTTTTTTAAAGATTTTTTATTTATTTGAGAGAGCGAGAAAGAGAGAGCACATGAGAGGAGGGAGGGTCAGAGGGAGAAGCAGACCCCCCGCCGAGCAGGGAGCCCGATGTGGGACTCGATCCCGGGACTCCAGGATCATGACCTGAGCCGAAGGCAGTCGTTTTAACCAACTGAGCCACCCAGGTGCCCCTGTGTGCGTTTTTAATTAAAAAAAAAAAAACCAGCTTGTGAGTGCAGACCACTGCTCTTCAGCACATGCCTTCCACGGCACTGATCTGGGCAGCAGCCTCGCCTTCACCCACAGCACATGGGCCCCCGAGAGCGCCTACTGTATGCACCCATAGACACCAGCATGTGGTCATCCTGTGACATCACCTTTTCCGTTTGGGGGTCCTTTAGGGCATCTCTAATTGCTCCTAGTCACAAACAAGGTCACTGAGAATTTTCTAGTCTTTATGCCTCTGTGTACGTGCGACGGGTCCCCGCAATTTATCAGGAAAGCTTAAATGTGGGGTGAGGCTAAGCCCTTGGGACAGAGCACCGAGCAGGGCCCTCGGGCAGGCAGCAGCCTCCTGGACTGGTTGGTCCCAGGCTTTGATGGGTTTTTTCTGGCATCTGGAAGTGTCTCCTATGGATTGATGGCTGATGGCCTCCCTCCCCTGACATCCAGGGGTCTGCACATCCTTCCCTTGGCCTCAGGTCAGCATCCTGCTGGCCACACCGGGTCCCACCTGCCAGGCGGCCATCCTCCTGCCTCGAGGACTAGGCCTCTGAGATCCACGCTGTGGCCCCTGAGGATGGGGCTAGTTCTGGGCAGCTGGGCAGGGTGGCTGTGTTCCAGGTGAATCCACATGGCAGGCCCTGGCCAGCCCCCTCTCCCCTAGGCTCCTACAATCCCATGACGCTCGGCCTCTTCACTCTGGTCTACTTCTTCCTGGCCTGCTGGACCTATGGGCTGACGGTGTCTGCCGGTGTCTTCATTCCATCTCTGCTCATCGGGGCTGCCTGGGGCCGGCTCTTTGGAATTTCCCTGTCCTACCTTACAGGGGCCGCGGTGAGTGTGGGCTTCTCCGTGCACCAAGCCTGGAACCCAGGGCTCCCAGTGCAGGGGGGGACAGGTGCATCTGAGCCCCTGGTTGTTCAGTGTGGCCTCGAGTTTTCTGGCTGCTGATGTTTGATGCGAGCACTCGATCAGCATGGCCGTCCGCAGACGGGATGGACAGACACGCACATTAGGAGAGATGTTCGGTCTTCCTAGAGTGCATGATTGAGGCATGTGTGTGCCTGGTCTCTGGGGGCTAGGCTTTCTTTTTTTGTATTTTCTTTTCTTATTTGAGTCTTTGAAATAAGATTTCTAAAACCATGAGAGGACCAGGGAGGGTCTCCCGCACCCCCGCCTGCTCCCTTTTCCAGGTTTTGGCCGTGCTTGGGTCACGTTTCCTTCCAGATGTGGTTCTGGGTTTTTCTTTTTTAGTTGAGAGATGATTCACGTACTGTCAGGCCTCCCGCCGTGGAAGCGTGCAGTTCGGGAGTTGTTTGTGTGCGATAGTTATTTGGATCACACGTCTAGTGTCATACATGGTGTTCTTCTCTCCCCAAGAAATCTGCCCACTGCGGTCACTGCCATTCCCCAGCCCCCGCAGCCGCTCGCCCGCCCTCTGTCTGTGCGGATCTGCCTGCTGCAGGCATTTCCCAGTGGAATCGCTCAGGCGTGGCCTCTGTGTGGTCTCGCCCATGCTTGTCCGTGCTGGGCTCTCTCTGCACATACAGGGGCGCCGCCGTCCTTCCCTGCACGCACCTGTCCCTCTTGCCTCCTCGGCACTGGGAACGTGTGGTCCTGCCGTAGCTGCTGAGTTGTATGTGCAGATGGCACAGATCCTTCGGGGCCTCCCGAGCAGGGTACACCCAGGGTGTTTCCAGACTTTGTTGATGTAGATGCTGCCACAGACCAGGTTGCACATGTGTGGGGGGTGTAGGACTTTCTCCTAGGGCTGGTGTTGTTGGGCCCGGGGGCGCCCGGGGGGCATCACATATCTCGGTGGGCTTGAGTAGGGGGCTGCCTCCCCTCTGACACCGCCTCTGTCATCCCTACAGATCTGGGCGGACCCTGGCAAGTATGCCCTCATGGGAGCAGCTGCCCAGCTGGGTGAGTCCCAGCTGCCGTGTGGGTGTCCCAAGGTCAGGAGGGGGCGCCTTCCCCTTGGGGAAGGGAAGGCCGTGAGTCCATTCCGTGGTGGCGTGCAGGGTCGCTGTCTCCACTCTGCAGCCTGCAGGGCTAGACCACCAGGATGAATGGGTGGGGGTGCTGGCACGAACAGTCGGAGATGAGGGTGGTGTCACGAAGTGGCCTGCAGAGGCTGGAGCCTACCCCCAACCTCCCTGGGCAGGTGGGATTGTGAGGATGACCCTCAGCCTGACAGTCATCATGATGGAGGCCACCAGCAACGTGACGTACGGCTTCCCTATCATGCTGGTCCTCATGACCGCCAAGATCGTGGGGGACATCTTCATCGAGGTGTGGCTTATGGGAAGAGGCCTGCCTGCGTTCCTTGCCCCCTGCTCTGTGTATCCCCCCACCACGCCCCTGGCCGGGAGCCTGAGACTGGGGGCTGGGAGGTCTGCAGCAGAGGCGGCGGGAGGGGCACTCCGCCTCTCAGCATCCCCTGCTGCCCCTCCTCAGGGCCTGTATGACATGCACATCCAGCTGCAGAGCGTGCCCTTCCTGCACTGGGAGGCTCCCGTCACCTCTCACTCGCTCACTGCCAGGTATGGCCAGCGGGGGGCCAGCAGAACAGTAGGGAGGTTTGGAAGGGCACACCGGTGTCTGGGTGTCCGGGCGGCTGGCCTCCTGGCTCCTTGTCCCTGGGTTTCCTGCATCTGGCAGCTTCCTGCCTGTCAAGCTTCAGCTTTGGTGTGAAGAGAGGGCATCCGTCACGTAGTCGGTTATGGTGAGGCCACAGCAGATGCTCTTCCTCAGGGAGGTGATGAGCACGCCGGTCACCTGCCTACGGAGGAGGGAGAAGGTGGGCATCATCGTGGACATACTCAGCAACACGGCATCCAATCACAACGGGTTCCCCGTAGTGGAGTTCGCTGGTGACACCCAGGTACCCAGGGCCGCAGGCGCAGGGGGTGGCCGTCCCACACGTGCACGTGGCCTCGGGCGTGGTGTGTGGGGTGGACATCCTGCGCAGGCACATCAAGTTCACCTCCACCAGCTGCAAAGGAAATGGGTCACGCAGCTGGGAGGTGGCAGCCTGAGGGGGTGCCAACCACTGCTCAGGGCTGCTGGCGTCTGCGGGCTCAGGCTTCTACCCCAGGCCACGCCATCAGCCCGGGAGTCGGCGGTGATGCATGTCGGGAGCCATCTGGATGGACGTGGCACGGCTGGCGGTGCGCGTCTCACCATGGCCTCTTGCTGCCTCGTTCATACTCTGTGGTCACATCCCGCTGCCACTCCCCGGACTCTGGGCAGCGATGAGTGCGTGGACTGCCTGCAGCAGGGCCAGTGCCCAGAGTTGGCGGCCACGTGTCGAGGGGGAGCCTGGCGGGGTGTCCCCGCAGCAGATGCAGAGGTCACGGCAGGGCGCCCTCCATGGCGGGAGGGGTCTGGGTCTTGGGCTCCTCGCAGACAACGGTCTCTTCCCGCAGCCGGCCCGGCTTCAGGGCTTGATCCTGCGCTCCCAGCTGATTGTTCTCCTGAAGCACAAGGTAGCTGCCAGGCGGCGGGGCCGGGGGGGGGAGACGATGGGGCAGGGGCTCTGACGCACTCCGCCCCCAGGTGTTCGTGGAGCGCTCCAGCATGGGTCTGGTGCGGCGGCGGCTGAGGCTGAAGGACTTCCGGGACGCCTACCCACGCTTCCCACCCATCCAGTCCATCCACGTATCTCAGGATGAGCGCGAGTGCACCATGGACCTCTCGGAGTTCATGAACCCCTCCCCCTACACGGTGCCCCAGGTGCCTGCCGCGGGCTGCTGCTGGGGATGGGGCGGCTCGGACGTGTCGTGACGGGGGTGTGCGGTCCTGGGCTTGGTCGTCCTGCCTCTGTTCCATTCTTCTGCGGGTGGGCCCAGCCGGCGGCTCAGCAGAGGCCCTGTCCCCTTTGCAGGACGCGTCCCTCCCGCGGGTGTTCAAGCTGTTCCGGGCCCTGGGCCTTCGGCATCTGGTGGTGGTAGACAATTGCAACCAGGTGAGTGGCTGGGCTTTCCTGTCTGCCCTGCTCACGGCGGGTAGGGGGATTTGCTCTCAGCCCCTGGGGGGCTCAGGGCTCGGGACCCAGACTGGCCAGGTGCCCAGTTCTGGGGCTCCCCCAGGGCGTGGCGCCTGGTTTCCACAGCAGCACGAGGCTGCCCCCTTGACCCGGCTTTGCTCCCGCAGGTGGTTGGACTAGTGACCAGGAAGGACCTGGCCAGGTACCGGCTCGGGAAGGGGGGCCTGGAGGAGCTCTCCCTGGCCCAGACGTGAAGCCCTGGCCCCTCCCTGGGGCCCCCACCTCGCTCCCCGGGGCAGCAGTGGATACAGCATCCCCCAGTCCTCGGGACGTGTGTGTGTCTGTGTGTTTGTGCGCGTGTGAGACAGTGAGCGAGCCGGCCCCCAGGGCGGGGCCTCTTGCTGCTTCTGTGCTGTCTGCTTCCCTGCGGGCCGGCCCAGGGGGACCACACCGTCTGTGCTTCACCAGCTGGGGCCTGGGGGACATGCAGCTGCTGCAGAGCCCCGTAGCCTTGCCCCTTCGACGCTGTCTGCGGCCTTGGGGTGATGGGCCTGGACCTGGAGGCAAGGGCCCTGGGGAGCAGACGCGGTAGCGGGCTCTAGCGGGAAGCCAGCTGTTTTCCCAGACTTACCATGTGGCCCTCTGGGGTCTTGGCCAGAGAGGGAACTGAGAACCATCCGTGGGCCTGAACACCTCCGTTCCCCCCGACGTCCAGACTGATGGCTGTGGCCTGTGTGCACTGAGAGACTGGCACTCCTAAACAGGGGGGCTCCCGCCGGCCTCCGAGGACCCCTGGCCCAGGGCCACTTTCTGAGGCAGCTCTGGTCCCAGTTCTGGGGCAGGCAGCCTCTGGGATGGGCTGGTGAGCCTGGAGCCAGGGTACTGTGCCTCTCCCTGGCTGGTGTCCTGTGTCCCCAGGGCCCCAGGGAACCTTTTCTGGAGGTGATTTCCCTGGCCTGCTTCGGAGACCAGGCTACACAGCCACCGTTGTGGCAGCCTGGCAGTGTGGGGGGCAGTTCACCTTGGTTTGGGCCCCTTTCCAGGGAGCAGGGCCTCAAAAAGCCAGTCCCTTCCTGGCAGGAGCCCTGTGGGGGATGCAGGGGGATGAGCGCGGGGGGGCTCTGGAAGGGAGAAATAAAGAAATCGTACCCTGATGGCCAGCGCCGGCTCCCGGTTCCTGCCCAGCACAGGCCACGGTCCAGCAGTCAGAGATTTGCAGGGCCACTGAGCGGGGGACATGCGGGATGGGGCCGCCTTGACCACCCCCCCTGCCCCCAGGAGGAGATGGAGGCAAGAGGCCCAGAACCCCTGTGAGGAGGCAGTGGTGGCCCAGGCACGTCTGTGGGATATGCCGGCACTGGCCCCAGACGCCCGGGGGCCCTCGGTCTGGACACCACTCTGGGCCGCAAGGGGTGTGGAAAGGCCCCCAGACTGGGGTTGACTTTGGACCCGTCGCCTTGTCCTGGGGAAGCCCTGGTCAGCCCTTGGGCGGGTCTGGGTCATGGGGCACAGGGAGCACGGGTCCATGCTGGCCTGACACAAACCAGGGAGCACTGGGCCGGGCTTTGAAGACCTGGAGTGGGGAAAGTGGGGACATCGTGGTTCATGTGATGACAGCTTGAACCAGCCACTTGGCCCCCACATTGGGTTAAATAAAACACTGGAAACTCACGCCTGTCTCTTTGGTTTCTTACTGTGGCCGCGAGGAGCCTGGAGGCACCACGCAGCCCACGCCTGCACCCTGTCCCAGCTCCCGGGGGCGCCCTGGCTGCGTGCCATCCCACCAGCCGGCCCAGCTCTCCTGACCCACCCCTGCAGGCCAGCCGCCACCACCCACACCAGCTGGCTCAACAGCTCCCCCTCAGATCTTTCCAGAAATAGGCAGTTGGGGGGCTTTGCAGGGCTGGCAGAGTCGAGGGTCCAGGTTCCACTGGCAGTTGGGCCACAAAGTCACCAGGTTCTGGTGAGAGAAAGATGGTTCCAGAAGAGCCCCTGCTGCGCGCCTGCCCTGCTGTTGTCTTGGAAGGAGAGATGTGAGGGCAGGCGCTCTCTCTTCACATCCCACGTGCTCCCCAAGGCCCCAGAGCCTTCCAGCCCCGCCTTCCCTGCCTCCCTCCAGCCACCCAGCTGTCCAGGTCTGGGCAGCCCTGGGTGCGAGGCCCAGGGCCTCTGGGCAGTGGCTGAAGCTGTACCAGGTGAGCCTGGTGCCAATAGGGGCTGAGCCAGAAGGTCCAGGGAAGGGCCTGCGTGGGGGTGCAGTGTGGGCCACCCGGGGCAGCTCTGCTTCCTGACCTCTCAAGGGGCCTTACTGCCCCAGGGCTCCCTCTGGAGCTGGGCAGGCAGGGCACGGTTCTGTTTCTGCTTCCTGGTGCTGTCCCTCAGGTGGGAGCCTGGGCCTCTCTGAGCCCGAGCTTCTGTTGTGGGGCAGCAAGTGCTGAGCCCTCCCGGGGTCAGGCTGCATGACTCAGCAGGACAGGCCAAGGTGAGCTCAGTGACTCCGCAGGACAGGCCAAGGTGAGCTCAGTGGACGTGCTTAGCCAATCGCTGCAGTGATTTGGGTCCCTGTTATCCTGAGCCCCACCTGGAGCCAGCACCCTTCATCAGCCCAGAAGCCACCTTCTTGCAGAGCTGGCTGCTAACAAACCCTCGTTGGGGGCTTCACCCCCCTCCCAGACGAGCACCATCACCCTGGGAGACCTGGGGCTCCCCCTTGAGGAAGGACCGGCCAGTCCCGAGCTCTTGAGTCTGGAGGAGATCTCCAAGAGGTATGAGTCCAGCCACCTGGCGTCCACTGTCTCCATCCCAGAGCGGGACTCCCCCAAGCACTGGACGCAGCTGGAGCAGTGGTGAGCCTGGGCAGAGCTGGAGTGGGAGAGCCATGCCACCCACCCCCAGCACACATGGACCGACTCAGCCTGCTCCTCACCCCGGCCAGGGTGGCCGACCTGCAGGCCGAGGTGGCGTCTCTGCGGGGTCACAAGGACTGCTGTGAGCGAGCAATGCTGACCCTGCTTCGGGACATGCTCCAGCTGCGTACCTGCATGCAGCTGCAGGACGCAGAGCTCAAGAGGCTGCAGCAGGACCTACGGCAGGCAGCTCGGGCCCCGGAGAAGGAGGCCCTCAAGGTGAGCCGCCACCGTCCCCACCCAGAGGTGAGGCTCCCCTGCTCCCGGGACCCTGTGCTCAGCTCGGGCCCCCGTCTGTGCCAGCCGGGCTCCGAGGCTCAGCCTCCCCTTCCTCCTTGCAGTTCCCCAGCCCCCAGAACCAGAACCAGATGCAGGCACTGGACAAGAGGTACTCCCCCACCCCAACAGTGGTGCAAGCCTTAGTGGTAGGGGCAGGGGCTGTGGGAAAGCAGCAGCTGGGGCGGGACCCCAGGACATCAGCCTGCCCCCTGCTCCTTGTCTTGCTCAGGTAAGCAGCATGCCTCCACGGCCCGACTCAGAAAGGCCTGGGTTTGTATGAACATGGCGGGAGGCCTGCTGATAGGGCCCCTGGGCCAGGACCCTGATCCCCAAAGGCAGGCAGGAGGGCCGGTCAGGCAGGCCCCAGGCAGAAGCAGGTCTTGTGCGCCAGGCTGGTGGAGGTCCGGGAGGCCCTGACCCAGATCCGGAGGAAGCAGGCGCTCCAGGACTCTGAGCGGAAGGACACCGAGCAGGACGCCAACCTCAGGTGGACGCCGCCTGCCTCCCTCTTGGGGGCTGGCTCTGGACCCACCACATGTGGTCACTGAGAAAAGAGGCTTGAGCCCGGAGTCCCTGCCCGCCCCCCCACCCAGTGGCCCTGGCCCAGGCCGCTCCCAGCTCCCCACCTGGGGACATAGAAGTCAGTGTCTTGCCCTTGTCTGTGTTTGCCCAGGTGGGGTTATCCACCCCCTGCCTCGCCGGCCTGGAGGTCAGCCTGGGCCCCCCCAGCGGCAGGCCTGGGCCCCCCAGCGACAGGCCTGGGCCCGGGAAGCATTCTCAGTGTCTCAGGGCCCTGCCAACTTCCCGGTGGCTCCCCAGCCAGGCCGGCCAGCTGGACTGCTGTGACCAGTGGCTGGTGCCCTAGGCTGGCCGAGCTGGCCGGGAAGCTGGAGCAGGAGGGACAGTTCCGGGAAGCGGCCTGCAGTGCCCTGCAGAAGAGCCAAGAGGACGCGAGCCAGAGGATGGACCGTGAGGTGGCCAAGATGCAGGTACTGGGAGGGAGGCTGGGCCCGGGCAGCCAGGCGAGCCACCTTTCCTGGCAACATGGTTGGGCCTGGGGGGGTGACCCCGAGGTCCCACGCGGTCCGGTCCGTGGCCACCAGCCGCATGTGGCTCTGTCTGTAGAAAGCTAACATTTTTGGTCCCTCGGTTGCATGAGCCACGCTTCAGGGGCCTCACGGCCACGTGCAGCCCGTGGCTGACAGTTTGGGCAGGGCCAAGATGGAGCTCATGTTTCATCACAGAAGGTCCCTCCCTGGCAGCATCTCCGCCACGGGTCCTTCTCCGTTGTGGGATCCGCACCCAGATCTGGAAATAGAGCATCGTAGGCCTGAAGCCCCTTCCTCAGACATTCCCGGGGCGGCCCCACCCCTGGCTGGTGCAGGTTCCCCTCCTGCCCGAGACCCAGCCTCTTCAGCTCTGCAAACAGAGCCCAGGGACCGCGTCGCCCGTGCAGCAGGTGGGGGCGCCGGCCCAGTGCTCCCCAGCTGCTGCCCACATAGCTCGGCTGCCCAGCTTCGGTGGCCTTCCCCTTGCTGCTGCCCTTTGGGGAGTTCTTGTTTTGGCCCAATCGAGATACTGCCCACCGCTGCGGCCGGGAGCTCCGGAAGGCACAAGGCCCAGGGATTCCTGCTGCGCCAGGCATGCGCGCAGGGCACTGCCTTTCCCCCCACCTGCCCTCTAGGCCGGGGTCGGCACACTGTGACCACCACCTGTTTTCGTCAAGTCTGATGGGCACGTGGCCACACCCGCTCATTTACTACAGCCCGTTCCTGGGTTTGCACTGGAACCACGGAACTGAGGACCCCGTGTCCTGGGGCTCCTTACAGAAACGGCCTGCTGACCACCCTGCATGTGGTGTGGGTGCCGGCAGGGGCTCAGGACGCACCTGCCCTGTGGCTGTGGGAGCTGGGGCCTCGGGCCTTGACGCCTTGTCTTGGGCACACTCAGACCCTTGATGCCCAGGAAGGGAGCCGGCAGGGAGACGGGGAGGGGAAGGGGCCCCACCCTCGGCCTGGAGGGGCGAGGGCAAAGTGTGTGTGCACTCATATTCCCTCGGCTTCCCTGACGAAGGCTCCCAGCTCAGGATGCGATTCGGCGACGGCTGAGCCCCCTGCCCTGGGTGGCGTCTGTGGTCACCGTGGGCACCAAGCGTAGTCTGGATCCACACGAGCTCGGCCTGTAGGCCCTTCACAGCCCTCGTACCTGGCCCTCCAGGGGGACACGTGGGCCCTGCCTTCCTTCCTAAGGAGGGTGTGGTGGGCCCCGCCCTGCGAGACTCAGGGACAGCAGGGGACACAGGGCCCGGAGTCCTCAGTGATGGACACGGTTGGGCAAGAAAACAGACCAGCCCGAGCTCGGCCAGGGGCCAGGAGGCGGGGGGCAGGGGATGGACGAGGCGAGGAGAACGGTCAGATCGCACGGCAACCACACTGACTCCCACAGGCCCAGGTGACCAAGCTCGGTGAGGAGATGAGCCTCCGCTTCCTCAAGAGGGAGGCCAAGCTGTGTGGCTTCCTGCAGAAGAGCTTCCTGGCCCTGGAGAAGGTGGGGGCCCATGGGCCTGCAGCTGGGCCGTGCCCCCTGCGCCCCCGCTCACGGCAGGCGGGCCGGTCTCCCCACAGAGAATGAAGGCATCAGAGAGCACCCGGCTGAAGGCGGAGAGCAGCTTGCGGGGTGAGCTGGAGAGCCGGTGGCAGAGGCTGCAGGAGCGGGCCGAGGAGCGCATGCAGGCCCTACAGGGGCAGCACGAGGTGGGCAGCCCAGGGCTGGGGGCAGAGGGGCAGTGGGGGCATCTGGGCGGGTGTCCGGGGCAGGGTCTCAGGGCCACCTCTCCCCACAGCAGGAAGAATGCCACCTCCTGGAGCAGTGCCGGGGCCTGGACCAGGCCGTGATCCAGCTGACCAAGATCGTGCGGCAGAACCAGGTGTCGCTGAACCGGATCCTCCTGGCCGAGCAGAAGGCCTGGTGGGTGTCCAATCAGCCTTTCTCCCCGGTACCCAGTGCCCTCGGACGGGGGCTCCTGGTCCCCCCACAGAGGACTCTGCACCCAGCAGTGGACGCAGCCCCGTCTGGGGGGCCCTGTGACCATTCTCCATCCCCTGCTCCCCGGGGTCTCCTGCGTGGTTCTGGAGCCAGCAGCCAGGCTCCTCTGGGCCCAGCCCTGAGAGGGGGGCAGCCTGGGCCGAGGGACAGCCTGTGTTGGCACCAACCCCCCAGGGACAGCAAGGGGCACCTGGAGGAGAGCCAGGCCAGGGAGCTGGCCGCCTTCCTGCAGGAGAGCCTGGAGGCCGGCCAGCTGGCACAGCAGGAGGCCCACAGCACGCTGGAGCTGGTGAGGGCAGCAGGGGGGGTGGTCAGCGTCCCCAGGGGACCCCCGCCTCCCCAGGCAGCCATGTTAAAACCCCCCTCCCACAGCTTCAAGAGAAGAGCCAGGCCCTGGAGGTGTCGCTGGCCGAGCTGGGGAAGCAGGTAAAGGACCTGAGTGACCACTTCGTGGCCCTGAGCTGGAGACTGGATCTGCAGGAGCAGATGCTGAGTCTGCGGCTAAGCGAGGTGAGTGTGGTGCTGGGGGAGCTGCCAGCCCCGAGGCCCACCATGGCCCCCAGCCCATGGCGGCTTCCACAGCAAGCCCTCGTGCAGGGTCTCATTCCTCTTTCTTGCATGGTGTCACTGACACACAGTTCCTACGCCGTGTGGTCCACCCTCGCGAAGCCTGGGTCTCGGCAGCTCCTCGTGTCCTCGGGGCTGAGCTGCGGTCATGTCACTGGTACATCTTCTCCGTCACCACAGACAAAGCCCCGTGTGGCTAGCGGTCCCTCCCACCCTGCGGTCACTGGCGACCACTGACTGGCTGCCGGCCTCTGTGGATTCAAAGGGTGGTCTCCCTCTCCTGCAGCTGTGGGCAGCTGTCCATCCCTGTCCCTGTTGATTCCTGGCAGGCATGGGGCTGAGCCAGGCCTTCCTATGGACGTGGTTCTGTTCAGCCTGGAGTACCCAGGTCCCCGGAGAGCTGTCTGTCCCCCCTGTGCAGACTGCAGGGAGCTCTCAGCTATGGGGTTGACCCTCTTGGCTCCAACTCTGGCTCTAGGGGGCCCTGTCCCTCTGTCCGTCCCCCTCCGTCCCCCAGCTCCGGCCCTTACTGGCATCTGTGTTCCAGGCACAGAGAAAGTGGGAAGGCTCAGAGCAGAAATCGCTGGAGGGCCTGGCCCAGAGTCAGAAGGAGGCCGAGGCGTGCCTGAGGGAGGTGCGGGAGCGAGTGGACAGCCTGCCCCAGCAGGTGGGTGAGGGCCAGGGGTATCGCCCCCCAGCCCCACTGGGCCACCTGGGCTGCCTGTCCACCCTGCGTCTGTTGCAGATAGAGGCCATCTCTGACAAGTGCATCCTGCACAAGAGCGACTCAGACCTCAAGATCTCAGCTGAGGGCAGAGCCAGGTGAGGCCCCAGCCCCGGCCGTGGTCCCAAGGACTGCAGCAGCTGGAGGTGCATCCACGAGGCTTCCCCTCCCGCAGCCCTGGCCCCTCCGTGGCTCTGGGCTCAGCTTCCCCCAGGTGCAGCCCACACAGGTCCTTGAGCTTCACTGTCTGTCACCCGCTGGGGACCCGCCAGGAGGGGTGGCAAAGATGAGCACCCACCCCCTGCACAACCTGCCCTCCTTCCGCACCTGCCCTGTCCCTGCCCCCGCCCCCCCCAACAGTCTCTTATTCCGACAGAGAGTTCGAGGTCGGGGCCGTGCGGCAGGAACTTGCCACTCTGCTTTCGTCCATGCAGCTGCTCAGGGAGGGCAACCCCGGGCGGAAGATTGCCGAGATCCAGGGCAAGCTGGCTACGGTACCCCTGGGGCCCCCATGCCCATCACGCTCAGCAGAGGGGCCCCAGGGAGGCCCTGGATCCCAGACACCTGGAGGTCAAGTGGCTCACAGAGCCAGTGTGAAGTGAGGGGCACCTGTCTGGAGCCCCCACATGCTGGGGGTGTCGTCATGGGGAAAGGAGCCAGCCTGAGCGCTGGCCAGGTCCACTGGGTCACCCAGCGAGGGGCCGGGACCCGGTGTCAGAGGCTAGATCCTGCCCTGGGGGCCTGGGGTGCGGGCTGCCCTCGGGCCGGCCGACTCGCCACGTCCGGGCCGGCAAACAGGGGCAGCCTTCAGTTCCAGAACCAAATAATGAAATTGGAAAACAGCATGCAGGACAACAAAACCATCCAGAACCTCAAGTTTAATACAGAAACCAAGCTGGTGAGAGGCGGCCCCTGCGCTGACCCCGCCCCGGAGGCTCCCAGCCCCTCACCCCTCCCTGCGGGGCCCCTAGCTCTGTGGGCTTCCCTATGGCCATCGGTCTGCGTGTCTGGCCCAAGCAGGGTTTCCTGGTAGATAAGACCCAGGTCTGTCCAGAGAGAGATAAATCCTAGGGGCTGTCCTGTCCCCCTCTGGCTGGATTCCTGCGTTCCTGCAGCAGCCCCTCCTCCCGCCGCCCTTGTCCGCAGCGCATGGAGGAGACGGCCAGCCTGCGTGAGAGCATCATGCGCCTACAGAGTGAGGAGGGCCCGTGGGCCCTGCGATTGGGCAGCAGGAGGGTCCTCATGTCCCTGGGGAAGCAGCAGTTCTTTGTCAAGGATGCGGCCCCCGGAGAGGTGGTCCCCGTGAACCGCTGGGGCGTGTATCAGGCCGTGAGGTGGGCCGTGGGGAGCCACCTTCTGGAGACCCCTCCAGGTCTGGGGCGGTCCTGGGGGAGGTCCCGAGGCCACTGGGCATGAGCCGTGTCTCGGGCAGGTGGCTGCAGTGGAAGGCGGCCCTCATGAACCTGGGGGTCCGGTGGAGGCCACGCGCATTCCTGGAGAAGTCCTTCCGCCAAGAGGCTGCCTAACAGCTCCCATCCTTGCCCCTTTCCCAGAAATAAATGTGCCACTCCTGTACCCGTCAGCATCCCGAGCTCCTCCTTCCCAGGAGCCCGGCTGAGCCCCAGGCCTGGCGCCTTCCTGGGCCGTCCTGCCCTCAGCTGCAGCATCCTGGAGCCCACCCACTCCTTGCAGGACCCCAGAGGGCCAGCTGGCCCAGGCGTGGGGTCCCGTGGCTCCTACCCCTTGGTGGCCGGCCGTGCCCTTCACACCCGCACCATGGCCAGCAGAGGAAGTAGCTCTTCCTGCCCTAATCTAGGGAGCAAACAGCGTGTTTGCTCACACACTCAGGCAGCACCCCTTCTTCCTGCCTCCAAGAAAACCCTGCTCATCCCACAGTAGCTGGTCCTGCCACTTACCGCGGGGCCTGGGGGACGGGCAGCCCTAGCACTAGCCAGCCGGGCGGCTGCCGACCTGGAATCTCAGGGCTGGTCTGGATGGCCAGTGGGCCTCACCAGAGTGGGGCACAGTGTGCAGACCGCCTGAGCCCAGGGCCTCCCCTCCTGGGGGCAGAGCTCCAAAGGCTGAGGGCCAGTGTGCCTGGGACGGCAGCTCCTGCCCATTCCCTGCCCAGGTGGCCTCTGGCAGTGGTGGCAGCTCCGGGCCGCAGGAGGAGCCTGGCCTGTCCTCCCAGGCCTGGGAAGTCCCTCCCTGAGCTGGCTTGTTGGACAGCCCCTGGGCTCCAACAGAGAGAACGTGACAGGCCCCCCTCCTTAAGAAAAGGTGAAGCTGCCGCCCCGCTCGCCCCCACGGACCCTGGCCCACTGGCTAGGCCTCGGCCAGCTGTACCCCGTCCAGGGCCTGGGCACCCCCCGCAGGCAGCTCAGGGCCAGTCTCTGCTGACCAGCTGGCCAGCAGGTCGCTGAAGTCGGGCGTGCCAGGGCGGAGCAGGCCCAGGGGGCCGGGGGCCGGTTCCTCCCAGAAGGAGAGAGGCAGCTTCCTCTGGGTCATGGGGACGATGTGGCCATACTTTCGCTCCAGCCTGAGCCGCCTGCCGGCTGGGGCCCCAGACCCTGAGTACTGCCGCAGCCCGTAGTCGAAGAGCTCGGCCAGGGGCCCCAGCCCGCGGGCCTGCCCCTCGGGACCCCTGGGAGAGAGGACTCCAGGCTCCGCAGCCTGGTCGCCGTCTGGGGGCCCGCCGGGGGCCAGTCGCGCCAGGTCAGTGCATGGGACGTCCCGGGCTGCGCTGTCGTCCGCGTAGATGTCGCAGGCGTCGGGGTCCTGCCCCCTCTCCTTGCGGCCAAAGTACCGCTGGATGTCGCCATTGATGAGCTCGGAGAACCGCAGCAGCTGCAGGGGTGTCTCGGGGCTGCTGGGACCCAGGGGGGCTGCTTCTAGGGCCCAACCCGAGGCCTGGGGGGCTGGGCTGCGGTCGCCTGGCCCCTCTGGCTCCTCCTCGTCTTCCTCGTCCTCCTCATCCTCAGAGGTCTCCTGGGGCTCCGGGTCTGAGGGCAGGAAGGGCTGGCGTGTGGGCAGGGGCAGCTGGAAGTCACAGAGAGGCCGGATCACGCCCGCGGCCATCTCCTCGGGCCTGCGTTTCTGGGACAGCAGGTGCGACTGGGGAGGGGGGTGGAGAGCGGACAGGTCAGGACAGGTCAGCCCGCAGGGCCTGAGGCCTGCCCAGCCACACTTGTGCTTGGAGCAGGTGCCGCGTTCGGGAGCCGGGGAGGTGTGGAGAGAGACTAGGGCCGTGGGCGCTGGGGGCGGGGGCGCAGAGACGGTTCTTGATCAACAGGTCCACCTGCTGAGGGGGCATCTGCCCAGGTGCTGGCAGGCGGGGGCCCCTGGGAGCTGGGCCTGGCTGTCTCGACCAGCATGCTAGGTCCAGGTCCCAGAGCCCCTGAGGCTTCGGGGGTCTTGCAGGCTTAGGGGCAGGCCCAGAGCCGGGCGCTGGTTCCCCCGTGCTGTCTGACGACAGGGATGCAGTGCAGGCCCCAGGCTTTCATCTGCTCCCTGGCCCCTGGGGTTTGGACGGGTCGGCAGGTCAGCAGGAAGCAGGGAAAGTGTGTGGGTCTGGGGCTCAGGGCAGGGTGGGTGGGGTGGGATTTGGGGAGGTGACAGAGACCGGGTGGCCTGAAGCCAAATGGGGCTGACTCTGAGCGTTGGAGTGCTCTGGCCCCTGGGGAGGAGTGCGGGGGGCGCAGCTTGCAGCAGGGAGGGCCCTTTTGCCTCCCCGCAGGAAGGGAAGAAAGGGAGGGTGGTGGGAGGGGGGAGGGAGAGGGGGCTCCCAGCTTGTCAGAACCCCCACCCCAGGGAGGCTCACTTGGGCAGGGCCGCCCTCCTGCCTGCCGTCTGCCGTCCATGCTGTCCCCTGGCTCTCGCTCACCGCGCTGGGCCCCTCGTCCCTGCCAGGGGTCCCGTGGCCCCAACAGTGGGCTGTGGGGAAGCCGACGTGGGCGCCCCCTTCCCCAGCCACGCCCCTTGCCCTACCGCTGGGTGGGTGGTCCGCACGGCCCACCTGGCCAGAGGGCCCACGGCCTTCCGGGGAAGGGGGAGGAGGCCGGTCCCCGCCGCCAGCTCCAGCACCCTCCCCGCCCGCTACCTAGCCCAGCTCCTACCTGCCGAGGCCTGCAGCTCCTGTAGGGCAGGCCCACCTCCACCTGGGCTCAAGCATTTATAGCTGGGCTCTGCGGCCGGCGGGCTGGCAAATATTTGGTGACTGCATTGTCATCGCAGACTGGGCAAATAGAGCCCGTTTGCTTTAGCGCCCAGCAACCAGGGCCCCGCGGGGGGAGCCTCAACCTGCCCGGGGACCGTGGAGTGTTTGCTGCAGGCCCAGCTGGCTCACACCCGGGGCCGAGGACCCTTATCTCTGCCACTGATTGGGACCCGGACCAAGCCTTGTCAAATAGGCGGAAAATTAAATTTCATGCTATTTTGACTTCTGGAGTAGCCTTCTCTAGAGGACATCCTGCTTCTGCGGTTCTCTGGGTAAACGGTGTTCCAGGCCGGCAGTAGGAGCCGGGCAGGCCAGGGACCAGACGCTGTGGGGACCACCAGCCAGGGCCCGGGTGGTGGCCTCTCTTGCAGGGGGCCGCCTCCAACCGCCGGGCCCTCCTGGGCGCTGTGACCGGTCTCAACCCTGCCAGGCGTGGCTGCAGGACTCCCAGGCCCTCCAGCCAGCTCCTGCTACCCCAGAGCTGCAGATGTGTTTACAACAAACCCAACTCAGCCCCTGCTGCCCCCGACACAGGGCCTCACCCCCAGGGCCCAAGCTGGTCCTGCACCACTGCACCCCCCACCGTGGAGCCCACCTAGGGGCATCCTCATGAGCCTCCCTGCAGGGTTACAGCCCACACCAACTGCAGGACCCCGGGGGGCTGCTGCCTGGAGCTGCCTGAGTGTCCTGGGGCCACGGTAGCCAGTCACCCAAACTGGGGGGCTAGGAGCAGCAAAGGGGTGTCATCCAGGTGGGAACCCATGCTTCCCTCCCGGCGTCCACTGTGGGGACGCTCCTTGGCTGCAACCGTATCACCGTAACCTCTGTCTCCGTCCGTGCATGGCCTTCGTCCCACGGGAGCCTGGGTCCAAGTTTCTCTCTTACAAGGACACCCGTCATTGGATTCAGGGCCCACCGGGATCCAGTCTGACCTCGTGTTCATTACAGCTGCAAAAACCCTATTTCCGCATGAGGCTCCATTCCGGGGTTCAGGTGGACGTGAGGTTTGGGGGACAGTCATTCACCATTCGTGGCTTCTGCTAGGTGCCTCGCTCCCAGCTGGGAGGACTCCAGAATCCTGTCCGCTGTGGCTCAAAGCCACCCCTGCTTTTGGGCCAGCCAGGTTCTGAGGATAGGTTGGTAGCCCCCTCCCAGCTTGGCAGGCCCCTGGTCCCTGATCTCCCTGCCACCAGAGAGGGCTCACCCTTCCAGGGACACCCTCCCAGTCCTCCCTGGGCCCTTGGTCTTGGCTCCAGGCTCTGCTCCCTTCAGGCAGGAGCCAGCACCTGTCCTACCTAGTGATGCCCCATTACACGTGGGGTGTGGGCACAGACCCAGACATTTTCTGCAAGTGGGGACCATGGGGGGTTAGCTGCTGGGCATTTCTCGGGCATTCGGAGGGCCCGATGCAGGAGTCATGGTCAGGACGCCCAGATTTGGGGGAGTGACAGGGAAATGAAGTGTGGGACCCACCTTGGGCCAGGCTGGTGACTTGCCGTGAGTGGGTCTTTGGAGCTGCCAACATCTCCCAAGCAGGTGGTCTGACTGGGCCAGGGCCCGTGCAGGGAGAGCGCAGGGTGGTGCGGCATGCCAGGCCTCCTACAGCCTATGGTTCGTGGTTTCCTGATCATCACGGCCCCTTCCCCCCGTCCCAGGGCGAGGCCGGGACACAAGTAATCTGTCTCGTGAGTCCAGTCTGCATTTGGAGCTCGGTCCCCAGAAACTGACTTCAGGCACGGCCACAGTTCTGCCCTGAGACTCCGGTTTCGATGATGCTGTTGTCCAGGCTCCAGCCGTGGGGCGGACCTCCCCCAGCCGCTGTCATCCCCTCTGACCCAGCACAGTCAGCGTCAGCCCTCTGGGACAGCCCGGGTCCCCAGGGAGGGGCCCAGTAGGTGCCCGGACTGTGGCCACAGCGCCCCCTGCTGCTCCTCGGGAAGGACTGGGGCCAGGACCTGGGAAGGGTGTCGGCTGGTGCAGGTGTCTCCTTGCTCAGCTGCCCAAGGTGGGCCCCGAGGACTCGAGGGGAGCGCATTCTGGGTGGAGGCTCCAGGAGGGCATTTGGGCTCGGTCTCCAGCCCTCATCGGTGCCCTGTCTGAGCTGGGCAGTGTGGGGGCTCTGAGGAAGGATAGATATGGCCCTGCCCACGAGAACGTCCCCTCTTGTATGACCAGAAGAGGGGCTTCATGGAGGAGGTCATTTGGTCGGCGCCGATGGGACCAGGAGCTCACCCAGTCCATCTGCGTGAAGTGCAGGTGTCCAGCAGAGGAGACGGCCTGCAAAGGCCTAGGCCACAAGGAGCTGACACC